TGTCTCAATAATTGTTTAAATCCACGCAGAAATATTAACGCACGAATGTTAAAATTGTTATTTGGTTTTTTCGTATGCTCACAATCAACAATTGCACCAAGATGACGTACCGCACACAGCTGATTCTGTCAAAATCACAAAGAGCGGATTAGCGGTACCGCGATTGGCGCAATCTCTATTTCTCTCTATCGTGCCAACCGATAACACCTTGTATTATTGCAACATGGTGTTGTCGGATCCACTGATTTCACGGCGAATTGGTACTTTTTGTCAAAATTAAGTGTTTGTGGTAATTCTGCTTTATATTGCTTGTTAATGTTAACAACGAAGTTGTAATTTTTGGTTCTGTGTTGTCAACAGCACCTTGTATAAATTCGCCTAGGGTAAACTGGAGAAAACCCGTTTTTGCTGTTTTTGTCAGAGTCTGTTTAAAGTTTTTTTTTATAGATATTGAGTAACCCTGTAGCAAATAAAATCAGGAGATCTCAGCTGTAAAAACAGCAAAAAAGTTCTGTTGAGTGTGAGAGTTATTGACCATACGCTTTAAAATACTAAAATGGCATATAAATGCATCAATTCATTTAATTTAATGCATATTTAGGCAATTGTTTTACTTTGCTTAATAACTTTTGCCTTATTTGCATCACTTTAAACACCCTGTCTAACATTTTGGCAGGATATTTATACATTTTGACAGGCACTTTCCAGATTGTTTTCATGCGGTTTCCAGGCAGAAGAAGAACATTTGTCACTTGTATGTATGCACAATGGGTTTATACCAGTGTGCGGACTACCAAATTTGTAAAAATCGATACCTCTTGCTAAATTGCATTTCTACCACATCTAGCACCGTAATATTACATTTACATTGGACCAAAATGCGTGATTTGAAATCAGTCATTTGAAGGTGTTTACACTGCTTGATCCGCATTTGCTTTGACTTCTCATCAAATGAAAAGGGAAGACAAAAACAAATTGTATGTAAACAAACACTACATTTATTATATTGTTAACGCTTTTTGG